TTGGAATACAACTAGACACTTTGAATATGAATTCACCTATGACAAAAAAATTGGGGTGGGCGTGGCACATCCGGGTTGAACTACTAATTGTTTACATTTTGGGGCTGGGGCATAACTCGCATAGGATGCGTTTGTTCAAAAAGAGACTTTGCGCACAATTACCTCATCCTTTTGGCCAGTTTGTGTTAACAGCTCAGTTGTTTCAGCTTTATAGTTCCAAAAAAGGAACGGGTTTTAACATTTGGATATTTTCATTTTTCGATTTTGACCTTTGTTGACCCTATATCTTTTGACCCGTATGATGTAGAAGCTTGAAATTTGGAACACGACATAACATTTTGAATATCAATTAACCTATGCAAAAAAAATTGAGGTGGGCGTGGCACATCGGGGTTAAATTACTCATTATTGACATTTTTGGCCAAGGGCATAACTCGCAAAGTATACATTTGTTCAAAATGGAACTTTGCATACAATTACCTCATAATTTCAAAATTTTAAATTTTTGACCTTGACCTTTGTTGACCTTGACCTTTGTAGGATCAAACGTCATTGGCATTGGCTATCTATTTGTACTTTCATATTTGCTGTCCTATGTCAACTTCCGGTTTTATAGTCGTGTGCAATTATAAATTTTGATGATGTATATCTCTTGATCTTGACCTTTTTAGACCTTCTCTTTTACAAGATCAAAGGTCATTGACCTTGGCTATCTGCTGATACTTTCATTTGTGAGGTCTGACATCTACTTCCGGTATTAGAATCTTCTAAAAAATGAAAATTTCTCAACTTTTAGACTGTTCTTGCACTTGATCTAAGTATCGTGGAAGGATGATTTTTTCGGGGTCTTTTGCAATTTGCTACATTTGCAAAGTCCCACTCTGTGCCAAGAGTGGCTCTAGTTTCTCATTCTTTTGCTTGAAACAAATGATTCTATGGTAATATCTTACAGATATGGACTAGAGATTATCATAGTTGACAGACTGAATATATTTCCTTTGATAGACATAAGAGAAAACAGTGCTCCACCCACAATACAATGAAAAAGTGTTGGCTTATCAATTGATAAAGGCATCCTGACATAATATCAAAGCTAGTCAAAGTACAGCCAAGTTTCAGTGTGAGAGGGTAAAAGATAGAGATCATGGGTTACACTGTTGATAAATGTATTGGAGAAATAAAATGAAATGATTTTTATATCCTACTTAGATAAAGGAGGAGAAATATAGTTGAAGCAATGACAACTTTTCTTCGGTGCATCCTATCTAGCAATTAGTCTGTGGCCAAACCTATCTTTCTAGGATTATTGCTACCTATTTTCAGTCAGTTTAAATCATGTTGGCAGGGCTGTAACTAGAGTCTTTTTCTTTGAGGCAAAAATCCTGTTGTCTTTTAAGTCAGTAATGTTTTTTCATCGTAACACTTTCAGTATACTTCAAACATTGCTATGTATAGCTGAAATCATATTTGTATCTTTAATTTTTTAAATGTTATTTCTTTTTAGTCAAATTCTGCATGAGGCATTTGCCTTGATGTAGTTATGACCCTGGTTGGACTTATTAATTGACATACTCAATCATTATCAGAAATCATGAACAAATACAAAAACTCCAACAATCTCATGATTAGGTCAGTTCTTTTGATACAGAGCACAATGACATTTGGTGGTTACATTGTAAAGGTATATTATTGATATAAAGGTTTCAAAGCAATATTTTTCGGATCAAAACCCAGTCAGCTGGTATTTTAACGAAGAGAGAGAAGTTTAAAATGATACAAAGATGACAGTATTTCTATCTATGTAGTATGTCACCCCTCCTTCTTATTAAACACATGATGGTCAACACTTAAACCTAGCATAACAACTCTTATACAAATCACTAATTCACTACAAACCAAGCAAATAACTCCTTTAATTCTTTCCTTGACATGAATGCACTCTTTAATACCATACATTGTATAGGACATCTCTATTTTAATTGAACTCAATTGCAAGTAAGCAATGAAAGTAAATATTTGATAAAAGTCTACATTTATTGTAATTGACTTGCATCTCGAAGTATGTTTTAATTAAGGAATGTGCACATATTCTTACAGATTTTCAAAAAAGCAAAACTTGAAGGTTATTACCCACAAAGAGGAAATGCTTTGATAAAATATTGCATGGCCCCAGTTTTAAAATGTTATGATGGATGTTTCAGAAATTTCTTCTTTACAATTCTGACATATCATGACATGTTCAGAAAAAAGTTGTAATGTTGGTACAAAATTTGTGATGTGAACTGAAATTTTATAACAGATTGAACTGTTCATGTCAATTTGTTTAGTATAAGTATAATAAGTTATATAAATACAGTAAATATATCATATATCTTTACTAAATTTAAAATAAATATCATCTCAATCATTCTCGTGAGATTTGTACACAAATACCGCTTATATTGGAATCAGAATATTTTTAAAAGTTTGCTATGGTGGGTCCGACTATAAAGTGCAAACAACACCAAGGGCAAACAAACACAAACAATATTATAGTATGCAAATTGCAATAGAAGACTCATATAAAATGTGAACAATTTGGATTAAAATGGGAGCGGCTCATCACTTTCAACAAAATTTCAATGATTTGGTCGCGATTCGATCACTTCAATTTTGTTTGACAAGATCTTAAACCAGATTGTTACGAATAGAGTAATTGCTTATCATTTAAAAACAAATATATTATATTTCAAGCAGATTGGATAATTGAAATTTGTTTGATGTATAAGAATGTTAGCATCGATATTTTAAGAGAATCTCACAGTCAAGCAATTAATGTAGGATTAACACCTGAAAGTGTAATAATTACCCAGTTTTGTTATATAAAGGGTTGTGAACAGATTAATTTAGAATATATGAATTCAATGAATTTATCTTGACATCAAGTCATTGAATGTGTCTGAGAGGTGTCTATGGATGGTTGTTTTGCTGACAATATACACAAAAGTAGCTTGGAAGACCTCTTTACAATTATTTTAATAACATCTGTTTGGCTGAAACACATAGTGGGCTTTCTTGTCCTTTAATATCGATCAATATTATATATTATAATTCATCTTTTCTGTGCTTTTTACTGTCATTTGGTTGTGCTATGTTTACACTTGTTTGGGCTTGTATGCTCTTATTTAGGTTTTTTTTTAGTCGGACCGGCTATGGTAGATTCTGTTACCAAAGTCTGTTCAACAAAGCTAAATTTATCGTATTTGCAGGTCATGAAGATTGAAAAATGTCCAACTATGATATATCTTAGGAAAATATTTTTGTTAGAAATCTAAAAAGTTTCCATGAAGCTTTGATCCTGATTTTAACCTGAAATTTGCCATTTTTATAGAGAAATTGAGAAAACAATGGACATGTAGTGCTTACGTTTTGTAAAGAATGAATTCTATCTCAACATGACTGATATTTGTATAAAAAATTTGACCTTCTCCCCTAGTAAAAGAATGGACAATATCAACATGACTTATTTGCTAAAGTTGATATTTTCTTCAATTATTCTGTAATTCCTCATTAATATTCTATTTTCTAGGACAATTAAAGAGTTGACATCTCTTCAATGAGAGTCAATTGGTCTGAACACCACTCCTGTATATAGCTACAAGGTCATTCAACAGACAAATTTCATACTAAACTGTTATATCTGGGATGAGTGAATGTTGGAACGGCTCAGATTAAAAACAGTTTTAGATTGTTCAATCTAAGTGGAAATAACATTTTGAATATTTGGTCTTTTGTAGAAATTGTGAAATGTCTTCTTCATTCTTGAAAGTGAAAATTGTTTTATAATTGCAATTATTTTTATTCAATCAATTCCTAGATATAAGAAAATACATATATATATATATATACGTAAAGATGCTGTTGAAATACAGTCAAATTGATTTTTATGATATATTTTATTTATATAGAATACAAAAAACATGAAGGACAATAAATTACAAATTAATATTACAACATAGTATATATTATTTACAAAACATTTATTGCATATAACTGTTGTTGTTGTTGTTTTGTTCTGAGAGGCACACAAACAGTTGAAGTTCTTGAGAAATCAATGTCACACTGGATTTCAAACTGGTTTTTTTAAACACATAACTTAATCTAAAACGTTAAAGGGACAAGTGTGCCATTTTAGGGGGTTGATTTGAGTCTTGAAAATAGTTTTCATAAGCACTAGAAATGTACGGAAATCGCAAATAGCATTATTCCTTTAAAAATATCTTATACTAGGAATTTTACCCACAATTTCTGTATATGTCTTTTCTATATATCACAGAGTATCTTAAAATGACCACACATGGATTCGAAGGCTCAAATTTTGACAATGAGCTGTGAACACTATCACTTATTGGTAAAGCTAAAAAAAATTCCCGTTTTTGAGTCTTGTATGATTGGTCAAAGAGAATGGCACACCTGTCTCTTTAAGCAAGACAGATATAGAAATATAACTAACAAAGAAAAAAAATAGCACATGTCAAGGCAAACAAAAGCATCAACTCAAAAACTTTCAGGAACATGACTTAGAATTATTATTATTCTCATAAAGGAATGGCAGAGAAAATCTCAATTAAGATTGACGATAAAAGTTGGCATGCCTTCGAGTTAGAAGGCTGAATTGTATTAAATGATAAAATAAAATTCATGAACAAACAAACCTAACTTATAAACACAAAATCTTAACTTAAGCCTTTTAAAAAGGATACAGCATAAAGGCAAAATATATGTTGTTGAGATCGGTATAGAAAATATCAAAACATTTTGTCCAGGCCAATAATATTATATAAAAATACATTTTATAGTATAAACTTGACTAGAATAATGATGGTTTTATAATGATACATGTAATACTTTTATAGAAGGAAAAAATTCCTTATGTTATAATGCATGGATAAATGAATATTAAAAAAATGAGAATGTACAATTAATATTATGGCCTCTAATTCATTTTCAAAATTTAAAATTTAAACACCGGTTTCTACTTTTTGGTGTTCAAGTGTTCCCATGCCATTGACTTGTATTTTATAATTTGTGGATTTAAATGATTTATCATAATCATTAGCAGTAATATATGGTGCAACAGTAACATTATCATATGGCTTATCATCATCTATAGGCACAACTTTTTTAGGCTTATTGACCACTGCATACAGATCTTGAATATCTGCTGGTGGTTGGACACTGTTTTCATCTTGTTTAATCTCCAGTGATTCTAATGGAGGAGGGGGAGGGAACTCATAGTAATCATCATCGGGATTGATGTAAGTCAGAGAGATTTTACTTGCAGGATGATCAGGCACTGATTCTTCTGACTCAGAATTCATTGGTGTTACTTTGGCAACAGGTTGTGAAAAAGTAACGCTTTTACTGCGTTTATTAGGTGGTAATTTGGTAGGAAAAGGATTACTGATAGAGGATGATCTATGTTGGGCAGGTAATGTTTTATGTCCATTCATTTCTTTATCATCAATAGACATGTAGTCACGTTGTGGCAGTTCAGTATGGTGTATCAATGCTTGATTCTCAATATAATCACCAGACTTCATATTAGTTGTATCATGGTCGGTGACAATAGCAGGTGGTTGTGATTCACGAAATGTTTGATTTCCAGTCGGACAGTCTGAAAAACTGGAGACTTTCATTGGACTTCTGCTTATGGAACAATAATGATCATCATCATAGTCAAAATGGCGATAGGAACTTGTTTCTAGTTGTGATGGGGGTATAGCTGGATATAACTCTACTTTCATTGGCTTATTTCTCTCTTTACGAATTCTGAAAATATAAATACAAAACATGTGATACTGAACAGGAAATAAATGCAAGACTTTTGGGTAATAAATACCATTGCTGAAACATATTTCTGAATAATGCACACAAATTCTCCAAACCCAAAATGCTTTATCATGCAGAATTGAAAATAATTGGCTTTTTACATGTTCAAAAACCTGTTATACATCTCCTGAGATATATATTGATATGTGTCTGTAAACTCTGATTGCATAATAAGTCTAAATTGGCTATTGACAAAATAACTAATTCAAGCATGTGATCTGAAATTTGAAAAGTCTAGAGATAATTAGTCTTTGATGTATGTTAACCTAATATAAAGATGTCAATATTTGTGTAAGTGATATGCTTGTGAACCAATGTCATTAAAAAGGCAACTGTGTACTTTACCTTCGACAGTGAACTGCTATTGCTACTATTACTATAGTAAATATAAAGAATGCTGCCACCACAATACCACCAACTATTGCAGCTGAAATATTTCACAGATGAATTCAAATACATTTTTATTTAGCTTTTGGCTTTATGAGAGAATGAATGTGAAATGATTTATGTTTATGTTTCTCAGACCATGTTTATATATGAAGTTTAATTTGTAAATTATGAATTAAATTAAGAAAAATAATTCTGCAAAGGCAAAATTACTCTTAAAAAAAAAGTCACATCAAGTATTCCTTAATCATTTTGACAGACCCAGAACATTATATTCAAACAGACATGATCTTTTTGCATTATATCATCATGAAGTATTTTCCATGTCACAGATGCTTAGAAAATTTGAAAAATTAAATGCTAATGAAGGAGTTGCTCTGTACATATATCCTTGGATTCAGTTACTAACTTTCATGCTTCTATGGTGTTTTTGCTCTAATATTTGTATATTCCATATTTGTTATGAATTGGTAGATGGAACTTGAAAAGATATAGAATATTTACCCATGTCAGATGATAATGAATTTGGTCCATAAGCTGAAGCTGATTCACCAATATTGATGCCTGCACCGGATGTAGTTGAACTTGTTTTGATGATAACCTCATCTTCCGTACGTCTTTCTCCAGATTCATGTGATCCTACCAATAATCTGTGTAATGATTCACCACAGTGGATCTGAACATAATCATTAGAGTTGGTTGCTGAAAAATTCAGATATTCAGAAGTTATTTATATTGTCTGCTTTCCAAATTTGGAATTTAAGGAGAAACAGTAACCTACATGCAGTCTTGAGTTCATATAAGTGTCTAACACATTGCGTTAAGATAGTAACATGTAGTAGCAACCTCCAGTTTAGATGTACACATAGATGTTGGTCAATTTTTCAAATACAATCCAAAATAGTAATGAGTTGTACAAATAGCATTTATTTGGATATTTAGCTTACCTTTAACTTCTAACCAGACAAATGCTGTTCCTTCATTATTACCATTATGTAATTCTAATGTGACATTGTTAACAGTTCTACTGTAAACAGTTCTATAACCAAACCAACCACTATGACCACACGTTAATTCTTTTTCAAATGCATGTTTATCAGTTATTGTTATACTTCTAGAGCACTTCCTATCACCAAACTCTGCTCTAGCTATTAATACATCAATAGAGAAGAGGTTGATTCCATTAGAGAATTCTGTAGCAGCTACACACTGACAGGAGGATTGTCTTGTAGAGATTGACCTAGGGTATTCTTCATTAGCTAAATACAATACTTTACCTCTCTTGATATCATCAGAACAGAATGAGGCAATGTCTTCAACTGAAATAACAAGTTGGTAAATGGGAGATAACTCACTTGAGCTAAAGTCTGTTTGACCATGACTGAAAAGATTTTTACTGAGCAGACTCTGTATATGTTAATAAGATATCATTTTAGGTAAATTTACCATATGAACACATGCCATTCTTTTTTTTTATAGGCATGGTGATTTGTAGACCTTTTACTTCTGAGTCTTCTTTATAACATTATTCAATAAAGACTTGAAAATAAGATAATGTCACAAATTTGGTATTTAAGTCTCTGATCGTGGCTTTGAAGTCAAGACTGGATTTTGTTCAGTTATTTTTGTTCTAATACTTTAAGTGGAATAGAAAGATTAATGCTAGTATTTATGAAGTAGAGTAGAGAAGATCATCTAAGACAAATAGAGATTTTAGTTCACATATTGTGATTGTTTTATATACAAATTAAATGAACTGATTTATTCCAGGTCTACTTACTTGCTACACAATCATAGATAACTGTCATATAATCTGTATAGGATCTATCAGTTTGACATCCAGTTGATCTTATTGGCACACTTTCTACAATAATACTACACTTCTCATAGCCTGAACAGCGATTATTTAACTTGGGATATACTGTATCATCAAATTCTCTACAATCATTCTGTGTAGCACGACAACAATCACCTAATTTACGATTTTTACATCGTTTTGCAGTATTGACACCATAAAATAAACGTTTAATGGCTATTCTCTGGTTTCGTGGACATTGGAGATTTAAGTAGTTATTGTTACAGGCACTGGCGTAGATATTTTGTCTGGCTTCTGTATAACCTGAAATTACAATAAATTGTTATTAAATAATAACGTTATTCATATGTCTTTATTATATTCAAAGGTCAGATTGAATCTAACATGATTTTCTTATTACATTCTGTTGTTGAATTTATAAACATTAATGGTATATATTCAACAGTCATTCAACAGTGATTTATATTCAATAGTGGTTTTGCTAAACCTGAAATGATGTTGCAACAGCCTTAAAACTTACATCTTGCTAAACCATCCTTTTACTTTTATTCATTATATGTTAATATTATATGTACTGGTATCTGTAATTGATTTAAGTCTGCAAATGACTGTCTGCATGTAACTAGACAATACTACACATATACTTTTAAATTTTGATTTTGAAAAGTGATAAGGATGGCTGGAATTGAACTGCACCATTTGTTAAGGACAAAATGATGTTTGTGTATAAAGAGAACTATATTTTGAGGAGAGGTCTGTGATGTTTTGTAGTTGTGTAAAATGATAAGTCTATATGTTCTACTAACAGTTGTATGTAATATGTAAATATGTAATAAATGTAAGATGTTCTACACATGTTAAAGATCAAATCTTGTAACCTTCAATCTGTTTGACTTATCTCAATCTTAACTCTGCGATTCTATAAAACCTTTATTTTGATTACCCAGAAATTTACTATTCATGGTTTAGAAACAGTTTCTTGTGCTATAACTTTGGCACTCCATCTTTTTTAAAACTTTAATTTGATTATGGTTGTTGTTGGAACATGTTCAAAAAAAATATTTTATTGAGAAAAAACTGAAGTAGGTGTTTATATAACATTAAATTACATTATAATATTTTATAAAGACCACACAGTCAGTCTTGAATTTTTCATTGATTTTTAGGGTTTCATATTAGCCATTTCAAATTACTATATTATGTTTTGGAGAAAAAAATTTAGATTGTCTATTTCTATGTGATGTGATTTATTCTGTCTATATTTATTAACCCTTTATACCCTGAGTGTAAATAAAATATAACATCATATATCCTGAAAGTAAAATAAGAGTATGACGTTAATGTTCTGTGACATCACTGGCCACTTGGGTATATATTGATTATTTTGTGGCAGCTAAGATTTGGGTTATTTTGTTGCAATAATATGTGGTTTCCATTTTAACAGCAATCTTTGTAACTGGCATGACTTGACATTTCTAGTGTTTATTCAATTCAATAAACATTACATCAGACATAACTGCTAACATATCATATCATTTGTAGACTTCTAAACTAAGCTGTAAACACTATCATATAAATAACAAAATATTGTACTTCTTGTGGTACTTGTAACTGCTGACATAAGGCATGTTTCAAATATTGCTCTGAACAATGATTTGTCATTGGTTAAACCTGAAAGGCTTATTTCAAAATAAATATATTTATTATGTCTATGTTTTGCTTGAAAATTTTATAGACCATTCAGTAAAGTCAAAAGGATAAGAGAAAAGGATAATAATCTCAAAATAACAGTATTGCAAGTTTCTTTAGAAAGAGAAGCCAAGTTGGTTCCTGTCTAGACAAGATGGTTGACAAGAATGTCCCTAAGATCATTCCTGATCAGCTTTAAGGCCTTTGATCAAAATCCACGACAATTTTCAATTTGAGTTCTACTATGATAAGTAGGCTACTTTGGCGGGTGTGGCAAGCAATGTGAGGCATGCACACTTCATCTGCTTTATGCTCTACAACTAAGTGTGTTAGCTCATCTTTCTTTCTTAGAGTCCACATAGGGAATAATGATTATTTATCAGGTAATCAGTAATATCCAGATTGACTGAAGTCTGTTGAATGTTGATAAAATGATACCTGGTTCAAGATATGGTAATCTCCTGTATGTTTCTATCATTAAATGTAAGAGGGCACTGATGCATACAGATGTACCTGAATCTCATAACTTCAACATACTGAAACTAAATTAACTTCTACAAACAGTTTGCAGCTTTTATATACAAGTTTTGTTATAAAAACAAAAAAGTTACATAACATATCACATTCAGTTACCATGAAATACAATATGCATATCATAATTGACATCACAGATGGTTATCTGGTATGATTCAAGTTTCAGCAAAAACTGCATCAACTGAGCTCAAATTATTTACTCTGTTTAATACGCACTTGGCGTTACTCAGGTCCATCTGTCCACAATTGATTGTAAACACTCTAGAAGGCACAATTTTTGATGGACTTCAATGGAATTTGGTCTGAGTGTTGATCATCACCTAAGGATGAATCCTATTGACGATGACGTTAATAAAAACCAAAAAAATATTTAATATTATTGAAGTTATTGAAAAAGCATTCAGTTTTTAGTTCAGTAAGACACAATTCTTGACAGATTTTGACATAACTTGACGGAATTGGTTATTATCACCCAAGGATGAACCCTATTGAAATTTATTGCCCTTTGTCTTCAAAACAAACACTTAAACAATCTAAAAGGCACAATTATTGCCAGATTTTGACAAAGAGGGGTAATACTGTTGAAATACTGTCATAAAGGTTGAGTATTTCATACATGATTGTTACTGTACAGCCAAATATTTTTATTCAAAATCATAGCTGCCATTGAGCGTATATTACCTTGCCTGGCAAGCTATCCTCATATTTGTTAAGTGTGGACCGCTTGAGTAAAACCATCACAATAACTGATAAAATTAACAATATATCCTGATTAAATATTATAACAAACTGAATCTAATTAGTATATGGTAGATCAGTTCTGCTTCATATCAAATATTCACTTGAAATAATTAAACATTTGAAATATAATGAGATTGAAGCTTTCTGCCATGATTATTATAAAATGTTGAAGAATTATCTTACACTTTGAATCTAAACATAAAACAGTTTTACACTCTACCAATTTTTTTTCTGAGGGAATAATTAGTCAGTGAGAATACATTGATTTGGCTGGATTCCAAAAGTAATATTTGTAATTCTTGAGTGAGTGGCTAAAACTGATCATAAAAGATCAATATAGGAGTTAAAGAAACAATAAAATTCTATCCTATAGTTTATATACTTCCCAAATTAATCTGTCGATAAAATATAATGCTTCTAACTGTCCACAAGGGAGTTATACTTATTCAACCAAGAAAAATAACTGTTATAGATTCTATAGATTCTTGGTATTGTATTGTAGAAAGGGATGTCAAGCTGACTAAAATTAGTCTGAACTAACTATTAAAGTGACATTAAGTGTTTTACAGAAGAGTGAACCTGTCCTACCTCTCTAATCCTGTCTGTCTGTACTTATACATTGACTATCTTCTTTTCCAAGTCAGTCTGTCCAACCGTCATCAGTTATATGTGGCAATAGTAAGATACTAGAACTATGTAAACATGTATTAGACTCACTGCAACTTGCATGATATTAAATCTAAACAACTGTAACTTCCAAAGTCTTTGAATGGCATTTAGCAATTGTGAGTACTATATATAGACACCCTCACTAATTCAAACATGTAATAATTGAACATTTTTATTGAGATGCAGGGACAATAAGCTTAATAAGCATTAATGTATATATAGTTTGCCCTTCACTTATCATTATGTTCCTGAGGACGACAGGGGAAACAAGTCGAAACGTTGCATAAAACTTTAACCAGTGATTGTTGTTCCATAAAGCTGTGTCTATATAACTGTAACTTCCCTTACTCAAAAAGGTTTGTAAATTCATTACTCCAGACATCACATATTGAGAGAATTAAAAGTACCAGATCATTATTCTGAAATTGTGATAATGTTTCTGTAGACATCAAAGTATATGTAATTTAATTGGTGTTATTTTAGTCTGAAAATAAAGAGTAGGTGTGAATGATTGATTAAATTCAATAGAAACTTGAAGTTGATAACAATCAATAATGATATAATAATATTATTAAAGTGAGATTTATGTTTTTATCACATTAATAACAATAGTTGACATATCATGCATGGTTATATTGTCTGATTGTTAGTGATTTAATCTATTATGGTAAATGGTAGTTTATAATGGATAATAACTAATCTCTCTGTATAACTAAATCTAAATGTTATGACAAAATTTGGAAATGTAGCTTGATGCAGGGGAAACCTGAGGAAAAATGCAAGAAGTGGAGTCCTTCTTTTCTGTAACTGATTAGACTAATGAAGATAAAGCCATGCGTGGTACAATGAGGAAATTTTACCTGAACAGCATTTCCAACTGCTAAGATATCTTCAAAGTTCACAGCCAGTAGCCCACAGAACTTTGGTTTATTATATTTTATGAGCTATTAGACATTTTCTCTTGTCAAACAAGTGTACTAATGACTTTCTCCAGGCAGGTTTGAAGGCACTTTGTTCACAAATTTCATGAGTACTTTCATCATGTAATATCTACATGACAAAATCATCTCAGACAGAACATTGTACAACGGTATTGTACAAATATTAGAATTTTTTGAAAATATGTCTGCACAAAATATACACAGGACAACAGATTCATCAGACTATCTTTTGAAGTAAATAAAGAATGATGAGATCTAATAAAACATACTTTCAAACCTGTAATTGTATTTCTAGACACTATGTCCTATATTTATCTATTCAATAATACATTGATGTCAGCTAAGGGTTTCTTGATAGTATAAATAAGACCACATAGATTTCAAGAATTGAAATACAAATGATAGTCACATAGTTATGTTTAATTCTGTGAATCTGTTTATCAGTAAATTGTGGTAGTTATGTCTTTCTAGAACAACAAAGTAGAAGTTTTTAAATTCTGGCACTCAGTAGGATGAAATATTTAATAGTGTCTATTTGTTGCAGTAGAACAATCCACCATTATTAGATTCCGGTCTAGCATTACATTGCTCACACACCTTAAGTTCAAGTTTAAACATTAAACTTCCATTCCAAACTGTCCTGATGAGGATTGTTTATCTGGAACATGTGTTGGCAGCATAGAATGAGCATAAGTCTGTATCTGAAGTTTTTGGGAATCAGCAACTGAAGTTTCCATGAATAAATAACAAATTTTTTAAACTTATTCGAATGTCAATCTGTAACATTTATATTTAAACACTTGATTTATAAACTGTACCCAGAAGTCAAGGGTAAAATATTAATCAAGGTATGGTCTTCTAAAATAGCTGGCATAATCATTTAAAAATAAGATAAACCTTCTTAGAACTATACAGATAACACTTCTACAACTGATTTCCTGTTTCCTCTAAAATTATCAACTATTTAATATCATTTAACATGTTCTTAGTTTTTTTAATTAAAAAGTTAATACTTTAATTTACCTTCAAATTGATTTGGGTTAAGTAATTGGAAAAGGAAAAAATATGTACTATTAATGTTTGAGATTTACTACTTTGCCATCTAATATATGAATGACACTGTGCAGTCTATCAATATCTTGTACACATACAAGATGTCATAATTTAAGAAGCCTTTACATGTGTATCAAGGATTTTTATACTTTTAAGGGACCCTTCCTTAATCCCTACAGACATCTAGTAATTCTAATTATTCAAGTAATTCCAGAAAACTTAGACAGATTATGTATATTGGAAAATATCCCTCAGAGAACTTTTTGAAATCCCTTTAAATCATAAAGGTATATAGAACTACCACACTGACCAAATTCAAGAATCATTTATATACACAAACATATTATGTTCTTCAAATAACTACATGGCCTACATGTATTTTGGAATAAGCATTGGCTAACTCACCCATCTTTAAATGTAATATGAGATGGGTAAAATTCTACATATGAAATTAGATTTGTGATAATTCTAGATATATATGTAGGAAGGTATTGATTAATGACCAGCTTATTTCTAAAGAGTTAAAGAAGATATAAGAAGTATCTCTCCAGGGATGTTAACTCACATATCACCAAAATAAGATCAATGTTTTATTTCAATACTGCAGACAGCCTTATCCCCTGTTCATCACATTAGGTTTATAAATCTTATATCTTTTCAAATGTCATTCAGCTACTCTTTTCTTTGGCAGAAGAAATACAACAAGTCTAAAGAGAATTTGCAGGACTTGTAGAAAATTTGGGATGATTTTTTTTCTTCCTTAAAAGCAATGTCTTTTGATGGTTTTAAGTATTTGATTAGGTTTGGGACTGTGAAAGAAGTACAGCTCATGACAAGATTTGTGGTTAAGTTAAACATCTAATTTGTGGTTTGCACTAGATTGTGGGTCAGACACCAGATAATCAGATATGTTTAGAGACAAGACTAGAATAACTGCCAGGTTTTTATAGAATGAGAAATAAATAGTCTACTATAATTCTATTGTTTATGTCTGTTCTAGTAAAATTACTACTATAGTTTACTAGATTGTATATGGTAGCATTGTCAATCACTTTACGACATGTAAACACTACATTTCATTCAATGCCAGAAAATTGGCATGAGTACAAAACACTTTACTCTGGTTAATTAATCTCTACTAGAATGTCAGCTCATAAATATCATCTTATATTAGTTAATTATTATTAACTCAAATTTTTTCATGTAACACTTTATTATGGCATTTCATTTCTCTTTTATTTTCTCTTCAGAATCATTTAAAAAACACTAAATATTGTTTATTTTTGCTCTTAACATTTTTATAAATATGTGATGTGAAATACAGATAATGTAATTAAGAAAACTGAACACAAGACAAGGTATTGAAGTAGCAACAGAAGCAAGGACAGTTAACCTGTCCATGAGAAATTTGTTCTTGACTGAAGTACTTCATGATCAAGAGCACATATTCATATTTTTCATGATTTGATGCGCTATGAATAAGACTATTTAATTTTAAAGTTTTCTTCAACTCTCAATAATTTCCACATGATTTTTACGCCTACTTATTTGTATGAATGGTTTTATTGCTTGCAACTTACCTGCAGATGTGTATTGTAATATTGACTATGAAATAAAGATTATCTATAATATGGAACCATATGTTTCATCATTAATAATATTTGATAGTATTTAGTCCACTACAACTGTTGGTACCTAGCACAGTAAATCAACTAACTCATAGGATTTATTAGAACATAGTTCCCTGAGTACTCTCTTTCTTTCTCTAGTATTTTATTTACAATATTCCAGTCGATATTAGTCTTTGATGATGAATATTTTTTATTATGATATTATTAGATACTGTTATATCTTGTTTTCTATCAATATTAACATAAGAAAAGATATCTTTCTCAACCTTGTGTATAAGTGCACCTTAAGCTGTGACAATCCTTTGTGTTATTGTGTCTGACAGATGGAGCAGACGGAGGTTAGATCAATTGATCCAGTACACAGAATAATAGGTAACAATATTAGCCTCCAGTTAAAAAAACACAGCCCTAGCAAGTTGAAAAGAAAGAGTTTGTGGTTAATTTAGCACTTTGAGTCGCGTAACGCGAGATAGTTCTTTATTATAGTGTGTAATTGAGGTTTTTGTTGGGTGTTGTGTTCCGCCACGTGCCACATGGCCAGAGAATTTAAATAGAAGTTAGGTTTATGGTTATTTGTGGTGTTTGTTATAATAATAATAGTTGTTAGTGTCTGTCATATATCTTTGCCAACTGGGATCTGATTTTAATCTAATGTTAACAGACTGTCCACACAGTTTATCAAGATTTATTACTGGTCAAACTACTGTGTTAAGATCACTAGTTCATTAGAAAAATACTCCATCTATTCAAGCACCAAAGGAATCATAATTCATGTGATTAAAAATGGTACAGTATTTAAGAATTCAAGTCAAGGTTGTTTTGGGTGTTCCCAAATTTTCAAATGGAATTGTTATATAATTCTCTCAGAATTATTGTCAACAATGTCTCACTTAAATGTCTGCACATTAAGATATAAAAAGAGTACAAATATTGAAATGTTAAGGTGCTTCCAGTTCTTGTCAGCAAAATAACCCAGCATTGACCACATGATCTATTGTCCCTATCTATTTGGAAGGTTGAATTTACCAGAAGAATCATCAATCACTAAAACTACCCGATCAGAAGAGAAGCTAATAATAGTTATTCAGAACCAGTCTGATGGACATTTCATGTTTTCATTCTAAATATTTCATTACTTTCTTACAAAATGAAGACATTTTCTACAATATTATTACAGGATACACCAGTGTCGAACCTTTTGAAGATAGATTTTAAGAATTTGTCTTTTATCTTCATGCTAATGATATGAGACTGAGCTGTTATTATGGGCAACTGTCAAACTGTAGAAGATAAGAGTAAATTTGAACCTATGTCAGTCTTGTGTAAATAAATCTGCTGAATAATTATTGATTCCTGTCAAATTTGTAGCAAGAGAAAGTTGAGGTCTGTACATAGAAAGTTTGAGTTTATTGACAGTTGAACATGTAGTAGACATAAATTGATCTGATATTGATCTAGCTCAATCTGTAGTATTATCAATATTGATTTTAGATTTATTGCTGCTGTAAGAAGATAAGGTTGTTATTTGATTAAATTACCAGAAGTGTTTCTGAAGAAGAAATATTTTTTGTAACGAAAGAAAAAAACATTAAGTTATTGGGAAGACCATTGCAGCTTAGTTTGCCGGATGAAACAATTCTGTAGAAAGATAACCACAAATATCTCTTAAAATTCATAGCCTACAGAACTGTCTGATGTTTCAAATCCCTTCTGACCTCAATTCCATATCCTTCAGTCCACCCCAACTTCTTCTATACCTACACTATTTCTATAACAAATCAAATTGTTATAAATTCAACATCCAGCCATTAATGTATTATCTGCATTATTATTATGAAATAGTGCTAAATGAAACCAACTAATACCATGAAAATGTAGTTTTATCATGGCTGTAGTAACTAGAACAGTTTAATGCTGATCATAAAGTTCTATTACAGGCCTGTGTCCAAGAGAAGAAGCTTTTAGATGAAACAACTTTATAGCTAATTATCATACACCCACCTGTTTTTATTAACATTGTACCCTAATATTAATTATAATATCAAATATTTTAATATCAATAGACAGAGGTTAATCTTTCCACTAATCATATAATAGTCATATACTCTTTGATATTAAGAGTTCAGACATTACCCCCTTGTGATATCAGACATTAAATGATATGAATAATACAGGCACCACCAGTTTGCCTGCAGTCATTTTAATTTACTCAATATGTTGAGAGAAGTAGATGAAAGAGACATTTGTTCTACTTGTAGTAATTAATTTCAACTGATTATTATTCACCCTCTTGGCATTAACCAACACAACACCTCTATAGAAATATACTCCACATCTTGAAGTATTTTATGTTTTCAGACAAATGAACAGAATTAGTTCTACTGCTCTCCAATTTGTAAAATTCTGAATTGAGTTATTCTAAATGCATTGAAAGCATAATTTTGTCTGACAGAGTAAGTAGATTTAATTTCCCTTCAGAATATAGCATTGATTTAAAATTATTTGGCCAGCAGTGCATGTTAAAAATCTACTTTCATCAAAATTTGTTTAGGTCAGTGTAACATGTATTCTATTTAAATCTACATTATTATCTCATTTAAATAAAAAAATCAGAAATCTCAAGATCCTAAAATACTTGCTAACATCTATCAATCATCCTGCTTTGATAAATAGTATGTAAAATATGCCATGGTATTTTCTCCAGCTTTGTAATCGTAACTATTGTAGCAGTAAAATTCAAGCTGTGTTCTACCAGGTTTTTAAAATAAAGTATAAAATAGAAGATATATTGTTTTAAGAAAAGTGAGAACTGTTATAGTAATTAGAAGTAGAACACTAGGTACTATTTAATACTCTCTGGGCTCTATTATTTTACAATAGATCTTTCTCCAATAGTACAACTAGATTTATTGAACCATTTTTAATTAGATTACCCGATTCCAATAAAACACAGAAATCATCTAGCTAATAGTGTGTCCCCTAGGGTCTAGTTAATATAAGGTGATAATAACCACACCCCACAATACTTTATTATAATTGACCCCTGATGGCCCTCACACTGTGTTGATTGTTGTAAAATAGAGTTGAGTAGACAAGGGATGAGTAGGGGATTGATCTGGAGAAGACAATAAGGAAAGTTGAGTCATACAACACATGTTGGAATTATAATTATTATATTCAATCACAAAGAAATTATTAAGCATAATAACTGGTGCCAGTTGAATGATTTTCATGAATTCCATGTCTGAGTGACTAGACTAACAAATGTTGCACAAAAAACAGTATGATGCTTTGTTTAGTTAGTTCCCATATTGTTAAGTAATTTAAAAAACTGGCAATAAGGAAAAAACTGGTTACTTTTGTTTTTTGTTCTGATTTCCTGAAAGTGACATTTGGTAAAAATTTGTATGTAAGTATTATGGTAACCATTTGGTTTATTGGTAGTTACTAGTAAAAATATCAGAATAGTAATAGTAACCTACAATAATAAATATTACAATTCATTCTTATCTTTATTTCTCACAGTATTATGGAAGAGTATTGCTGCCAATGTTCTTTCATAGATGAAGAGTTTTACATAAGTTTCTGTTTTGTAATTCATCAAAAGGAGGATTTACGTCCATTGCTTTAAGCTGATGCCACTAAAGCTGTTCTTGAAATACTGAATCAATTGAAAACCTTTCCTGGCGTTGTGATCTTGATATTTTTGGCAAAACCATTGTAAACTTGTTCTAATGAAAAAAATTGAGAAATCTTGAGGATCATTGATCTTCTTGGT